TGTGTGTATGTGTGTGTGTATGTATGTGTGTGAGTGTGTGTGTATGTGTGTGTGAGTGTGTGTGTGTGTGTGTGTGTTTGTAAGTGTGTGTGTGTGTGCGTGTGTGTGTGTGTATGTGTGTGTGTGAGAGAGTGTGTGTGTGTGTGTTTGTAAGTGTGTGTGTGTGTGTGTGTGTGCGTTTGTGTGTGTTTGTAAGTGTGTGTGTGTTTGTAAGTGTGTGTGTGTGAGTATGTGTGTGTGTGAGTGTGTGTGTGCGTGTGTGTGTGTGTGAGTTTGTATGTGTGTACGTGTTTGTCTGTGTTAATTGAGGTCGAGCGCTATATGAAAAGCCAAATTAATATATATATATATATATATTATATACCCAGCGGCAATAGAAACTTTCCAACTTTGTTTTTTGTAACTGCGCCCTTATTCACTTAAGTTGGTGAGCGAAATTTCGCACATCACTCACCATGCACACAACGATGACTCCGCGCTGATCTTTTTCCAGAACAAAAATCTAACCTCGAGGTCACGGGACCCACATGTAAATTAGTATTATGTTTTGTGACTTAAGTTCCCCCGAAAATATGACATCGTCTAAATTGTGTTTAAATCAAGACATCAGCGATTTTAGAACGAAAAAACAAGCGACATAAATTATACATTCCATTAGCTGGTTTTTTGTCAACTTAAATTGCTGAACAAGATGCCAAGGGCCAAGCCCCGAGGAGCGCTGCTGGGCAATTTGAATACTTTCAAGCTGTATTTTCTGCCTGTAGAGTGGAGTGGATGCTTCATTGCTCCCAGCCTACCATCAATATGTGGCCCGACGTTGTGGAATCAGGCTCTGGTCAATTTTTGAGCATGTAGAGTTATTGGTACCATCTTAAAGCTTGTTCACCTGACTTTATTTGGATGGAAGAAAAATCCATTTACCTTGCCTTGAATACAAGTCGAGATATTTGCAAATGAAGGAGGTGGGGGTCAGTTGTTTTCAGAGGTAAAATTAGTGAGAAAATGGCCACCAAAGATTAGTTAATTCCTTAGCTTAAGAGTCCGTGGTAACTGAAAATTTACTTTTTGTGTGCCTTTAATCAACGTTTTTCGGAAAAATCCACACAGAAATGAGTTCTTTAATGGGCATGAAAGATGTTGAGCCAAAAAACAAACATTTGATAAAAATTCACAAACCTGCGGAAAAATGCAAGTTTCTTCACTTTGATTATCTCGACGAGAGCCTGATTCCACCACGCTGACTCACATATCCTGAAAGATTGTTTCCAAGTCACTGGACCTACACCTGACAGACCCTGACCAGGCAGACCATAGGTAGACACGTCAACAACGACAGACAGAAACTGCTCCGGCAACTTTGAGGTCACTCTCTCATAACGTCAAAATAAATTACAAATCATATGGCCAACGCTCTTTTCCATATTTTGCCCCACTTGTTTTGAACAGGCTTCCGAAAACTATCAGAGAAGCAGAAAATCTAGAACTTTTTAAGAAGAAACTAAAAGCATTTCTATTTTCATCTTATTTCGATTAGACAGAATCCATCCAAGCTGTAGATCGTTGTGAGTTTGTATGTACGTATGTGTGTATGTGTATATGTATGTGTGTATGTGTGTGTGTGGTGCGTGCGTGCGTGAATATGCGTGTGCACGCGTATGTAACACTATGTGCCTTAAAATTGATTCGTAAATCCATAATATGTATCATACAGGCGCGGTTCGTCCATAGAGTACGGTCGTGCAGTGCCGCCCAAAATGTTTTAATGTTCTATGACGTAAAGCACCCACAATAATAAAATAAAAGACGCCAGAAACAAACACTAGCCAAATATTATATCAAAACAAGGCCGTCGCCTGCGTTGTAACTGTCATTTCTATTCTATTGCGCCGTAAAACATCTACTATGCCATGCCTAAGTTCATGCACTGTATCTAAACATAACAGGATAGTCAACAGTGGAAACCTGACCTATAAATCGCTCTTTGGGACAACCCAAGCGATGACGACACTTGTAGAGAGTTTGACGGTACATTAATATTAATAAGACGGCACATCTCAAATGTGCTCCTGCCGAATAGCGCCGATACTTAGCCCACAGTAGGCAATCTAAAAATAAACGCCATAGACTGTGCACTATTCCATGCCAAAATCATGTGAGCCCCGGCCGGAGCAATCCAGCGGAGTGCTCAAGTGAATTGTGATTGGTTAATTGTTTTGTCGCTATTTTAAGTGACTCTGTGACCGTGAACATGAGGGAGGTGAACGTGACATACTTAAGTCACCGTCCTATGAGTTGTGCTTTTGAACGGTTTTGTAGTGGAGTGGTGAAAGGTATTATTTGAGTGTTCAGTTCTAATGCAGGATGAATGAAATTGACGTTTAACTAACAAACAGATTTAGTTCTAGAAGTCAAAGCCACAAGAAAAAAGAATGAAAATAAAAGCACAAAGGTCTTCCTTCACCAACCCAAAGATCCTAAAATTATACACCATCCCATTTACTCTGCCCTTGATTATCTTCAGCCTAAGATAGCTGAATTGTGCACGCCCACTTTTTAGACCCACGAGCCGCCCCTGGTATCATGTTAAGCGCCTAAAGCATTGCATAAGTGGGTATGTGCTATATATAAATGCAATCCATTATTATTATTATTATTATTATTTCATACAAACACTGAAGAGACATCAGCGATAGAATAATTATTACAACGGCCTTATAATACATTCGGACATCGTACAAGGCAGCCGTATACCTACGTTTGTTATCTTTCCAATAATTACGCTTGAACAGACTGGGGCTAAAAGGGTGCTCCGAAAACGACATTGACATTGTATAACGACTGGGACAAGCCTTGTATTGATTCAAGAGTGGAATGGACTGCCACAACAATTAAATAAAATACGAAACAAAATATTGACTCAATCAATGCGCGGAATATGCGAAGCTTGCATTATTGCAAGGGGCTACAGTGCCCGCTATTGACTTGAAATATTGAAATCAAGGGGTGCCAGTTTGTGGTGAACACTGTGCCACTATATAAGACATGATCATAACGCCAAAGGTAACCCACTTCTTGACATATTTTGAAATATAATAATATGTCTGTGTCATATTTTGTTTTCATATGATGAATAGTAACCAAAATACAGACTTCTTTCCAAATGGACAATTTCTATTCCTGCAGTGATATATATATATATATATATATATATATATATATATATATGAGAGAGACACACATACACACACACACACATACACATACACACACACATACACACACACACACACACACACACACACACACACACACACACACACACACACACACGTACATCCTCACTTAAGCACCAACCATGCCACCATGCCTCTCTCTGTGTCCTCAGTTTCGACGACTATCTGTTCATGAAGCTTCTGGGCCGGAACCTGGGAGACAGACACTAGGACGTCAGAGGTCTGCACTGTGCGTCTTCTCGTTGTCCTTTAGAAATAACTTCTCGTCTTCTCGTTGTCATAAGTCCTTTAGAAATAACTTCTCGTTTTCTAGTTGTCATAAGTCCTTTAGAAATAACTTCTCGTTTTCTCGTTGTCATAAGTCCTTTAGAAATAACTTCTCGTTTTCTAGTTGTCAAAAGTCCTTTAGAAATAAATTCTCGTCTTCTCGTTGTCATAAGTCCTTTAGAAATAACTTCTCGTTTTCTCGTTGTCATAAGTCCTTTAGAAATAACTTCTCGTCTTCTCGTTGTCATAAGTCCTTTAGAAATAACTTCTCGTTTTCTAGTTGTCAAAAGTCCTTTAGAAATAAATTCTCGTCTTCTCGCTGTCATAAGTCCTTTAGAAATAACTTCTCGTTTTCTAGTTGTCAAAAGTCCTTTAGAAATAACTTCTCGTTTTCTAGTTGTCGTAAGTCCTTTAGAAATAACTTCTCGTTTTCTAGTTGTCAAAAGTCCTTTAGAAATAACTTCTCGTTTTCTAGTTGTCGTAAGTCCTTTAGAAATAACTTCTCGTTTTCTAGTTGTCAAAAGTCCTTTAGAAATAACTTCTCGTTTTCTAGTTGTCATAAGTCCTTTAGAAATAACTTCTCGTTTTCTAGTTGTCATAAGTCCTTTAGAAATAACTTCTCGTTTTCTAGTTGCTGTACGTCTTTTAGAAATGCAGGCGAATGTTTTGGAAAATAGTTGAAATGGGCCTACACCGGATAAATGTAATATTTGGAAAAATAGGCCAAGTGTGTGTGTGTGTGTGTGTGTGTGTGTGTGTGTGTGTGTGTGTGTGTGTGTATGTGTGTGTGTATGTGTGTGTGTGTGTGTGTGTGTGTGTGTGTGTGTGTATGTGCGCGCGCACGTTTATATTTGGGCCCCTGGCTCTGTTCTTCGCCAATGTCGACGTTTTGTCTCCACATTTACACACTTTTCTCACCCTCAAAGTTTTCAGTGGGGCTCTCGTGGCCTACGGTTTAAAGTGGGCCTATACCGGATGAATGTAATACGTTTGGGAAAATAGACACAATGGGCCCACACCGGATGAATGACAATCCTTTAAAGTCACCAACAGCACATAATGCAACTGGGTATCACTATCAACAGCACGTAACGACACTGGGTATCACTATCAACAGCACATCATTGGTTTGTATAGATTTGTTGGGTTATAGAGAAAACACTCCTTGTCTTGGGGCCAAACCTTTACCTTCGATTTTCTCAAAACAGCTTTTTTAGGGATAGCCCCCTTGTGTTTAAAAGCCACCCTTTATTTTCGTTCCCCTCTGTTGCTTTATTGTCTAACTGGTTTACTTCTGATAAGCACTAGACGGTCATTATTTTGTCAATGTGCGATAACTTTATAGATCTAGATCTCAGAAGCCACAAGTTTGAAAATATGAATACAATTTTTTTTAATGTTCCTACTTTCCTCAGATTCGAAGCATCGTCTGCGAGCAGCTTCCGGGAACTAGTCACGTGACATCTGCCATTCCACGTGACATTCTAACCACGCAAATAGATGCGTACTGTAAAAAGGGTGTTGTACTTGCACTACCTTCACAGAATTTGTTTTGTGTTTTTGAACAACTCTCTAAGCTTCAACTTGACAAGCATAGGGGCTTATAATTTGTTTCGTTTTTAATTTGATAAGGAATTTAGAATAGCAATGTTTGCTGTGTATATTAATGTTATTGTACCCAGTGACCAATCTCAGAGTTTTGAATAGATCTATCTACCTTTTCTGGAAAACGTTTATCAAAATAGTAAAAACATTAAGTAAAAGACGACCGATGGTGGCTTGAGAAACGTCCATAAATTTCTAAGCTCGGAATCCAGCGAGAGCCTTCCTCCCCTGACAAGATGTATCACCTTTGGCCTGTGGCTCTGTTCTTCGCCAATCTCGACGTTTTGTCTCCACATTTATACACTTTTCTCAGTTTTCAGTAGGGCTCTCGTGGCCTACGGTTTAAGGTGTTCGCCTCTCATTCAAAAGGTCCCGGGTTCGAATCCGGGTAGCGACGGAAAACATTTTCTTCTCTCCAATATTCTCCTTTCTCCTCCTTTCCTGCTCGCTAACAATTTTCTGTCGTCTGCTTTCGTCTCTACTTTCTACCCCACTCCTTCAACTCTTTTGCCACCTCCTCTGGACTCCTGACTCTTTCTGCAGCCTTTTTGTTGTTTCTCCTTGACCCCTACTTACTGCTGTCTTTCAGCCACACCCCTTATCTCAAGGTGGGCTGGATCTGCACCTGGCCTTCTCGGACAAGGGCTAAAAATCTCGGAGGTCCCTTGTGCAAGTTGCGCACGTTAAAGATCCCTTGGTGGTCCAAAAAGCGATAAGAGTAGGCATCGGCGCCACCCGAGAAAAATTCAAAATTTCTTACCAAGCGAAAATGTTAGGTGTGTCCCGCGCGCTCATATGACCTTATGCAGTTGCAAGCGCCGTAAAAGACTTACCAAAAAACAAAACAAAGCAAAAAATGGTTTTCAGTGGTTCAGACCAGCCTAGCGGGGACCTGACTTAATGTAGATCTGCACCCTGAGGCTGTCAGCCCAGCTGGAAGAATATGTTCACAGAACAGGGAGAAACGAAATGATCTCTCACAAAACGATTCAAGTTAGAACAGATGATGTTTAAAATACATTAACGAACTAGCTGGGTTCCCCGTTCGATGAACGAACTCAAATGAATCGATCGCAAAGTCATTATGGGGGCAGTGCGCATAGCTTGTAAACAGAAGCCTCACTTGTTTACAATGGCGTCTTAGAAGACTGACTTTCCCAAGATTAGATCTAAACCAAACGAATGAAAAGCTGAAAATTAAACTACACTGACTTCAAACTCCTTAACATAATTGCACACCCTTTAAATGAATTTGAACCACCGTTAATTTTTTTCAAATTCGAAAGTTAAATTGATAGGAAGTTTTAGGCTACCAAAGTGACGAATTTTCACAGATATAATATACTAGCTGGGTTCCCCGTTCGATGAACGGACTCAAAAGAATCGATCGTCAAGTCATTGTGGGAGCAGTGCTCACTGCTTGTGAACGGAAGCCTCACTAGTTTACAATGGCATCACAAGATTAGATCTAAACGAAGCTAATTAAAGACTGAAAAATAAACAACAATGACTTCAAACTCCTTAACGTAACTGTGCACCCTTTAAATGATTCTGAACCACAATTGATTTTATCAAATTCGAAAGTTAAGTGGTTTGGAAGTTTTAGGCAACCAAAGTGACGAATTTTCACAGATATGTGTCACGACACGGTGGAATCAGGCTCTCGTCAATTTCGGGGAATGTAGAGTTATTGGTATCATCTTAAAGTCTGTTTATTTGTCTTGCTTTGGGTGAAAAAAATATCCATTTATCTCGAACAGAAGTCCAGATATTTCGGATTAAAGGAGGTGAGGTCACCTGGTTTCAGAGGTAAAAT